AGGGCAGCTGCGGGGACCGGGCTGCCGCCCCGAGGGGGAGGGGGGAAGTGCCCCCCTCGGCCAAGCACTCGCTCAGCCGCTTTTTCGGCAACGGACCGGCGTCTTCCCGGCCGTCGCACTGCCACCCCGCCGCCGGTGAGGAACTCAAAGAGCTGCGTTGCACCCTCGCAACAGCCCTGTGAGGTAGGCTAGGCCAAAAGCAAGGGTGGAATGCCCGGCCCAAAGTCCCCCTTTATTGCTGCGTGGGGAGAGAACTCCCATCTTCCAGGCTCCCATTCCAACCGCCACAGCACTGGCTTCCAAGATCGCGGGCTCGAGCAGGAGTCCTGCTTCCTATTTCAAGCTGCCCTCGATTTCGAACCATGAGGACTAGCATCTTACTTACATTTTGGCGGGTGACCTGTAGCTCCATGGCAGAGCACCTGCTTCACAGACCAAAGGTCCCAGATTCGATGCCAGCATCTCCAGGCAGCCACAAAAAACCTTGGCATGATGGTAATGCAAGACTAGGAGGACCAAGGGGCCGACTTGGGCTAAGTGTGGAATGCTTCTAACGTTCCTCCGATGGATCCTTTGAGCGCACACTCAGTGATGTACGCATCTGGCAAAGTCTTACGTTTACAGCCAAGTGGATCCTACAAGGGGCAGAGGCACCCTTGGCCGGTAAGGGCGCTGGTCCCCAAATTTGGTGCAGCGGAGCAACTGACCAGGGTTCCAGAAAGAGGGTCAAGTTCTCCACCTCCCTCCTCTAAAGCTCGTGCTTCAATCCCCACAACTGCGCTGAAACGGACCCCAGCCTCTCCCCACGTGGCCCCGTCAAGACACTCCGCTTCCCGGCCCCATCATCCCCCAATTCTAGCAAGCCTTGCGAGGGCGAGGGCTGGCCAGCTGGCATGCAGGCATTCACTTGCTCAGCCACCCCCGCACACAACCCTTTCCCTCTCCACTTCCTTTTATTTCAGTGCGGAACATAAGAAAGCCACAGAGAAATGGTTTGTTTTTTTTAAGAAAATGCAATTTCTCTTTATACCCATAAAATGATACAATTCTGCCAAGTATAGAAATGCGTAATAAATTATGCGGAATGTTCTCGGTCCCTGGCCGGCACGGCGGTCCCTGCGCTCCGCTCCTCTCGCCCGGCCCCAGGGGAGACCGGCGGCGGCACGCCGGGACCCCCTCCAGCGAACTTTTCCTCTTTGGTATCGGGTTCAGTCTCGGGCGAGGCTCAGGGCGGAAGCGTGGCCCTGCGGAGACCCGTCCGGGCTGTCCGGGGGACGGGTGGGGTGAGCCCGCGGGCGCACAGCCAAGGAAGGGCTTGGAGGGGGACGGGAGGGGATCCCACGGGCCGCCACGCAGCATCGGTCCAAGCGCCCACCCGGTTCGGGGTGCTGGGAGGGGAAGCCACGGCGAGGAGAGGCTGCGGTGCAGGCTCCTGCCCCCTGGAGAGGCGGCTTCCGACAGGGGCCCTTGCGATGTGGGGCCAAGCGGCCCTCCAAGGCACGGGGGCCGGCTGGGGGGTGCGGGGCAAACCATGCTCTGCCAGGGAGCCCTTGTTCTCGGGTAGGCTGCCTAGGGGAGGCGGCTGGGGGGATGAGCTAGCTTTGGGATTGCCCACAATGCTCCGGGGCGACGCCAAGCCAGAGGCACTGTGGGACAGTGAACCGAGGGGCTATGGCCCCTCATCCGGCTGGGCCAGCAGGAATGCCATCAAGAGGCGGCTGGGAGTCCTGGTCCTTAGGCCGCCGGCTCCAGAGGAAGCCTGCAAGTGAAAGGAGACCGCTGCGAGACAGTGTTGGTTGAGTCAGACGTGGTAACAGGAAGCAGCCGGGGCGTGCGGCCCACCCTCGTAAGGCTTGGGAGGTGGATGGGAGCTGGTGCCCGTCGAGGGCGGCCTGGTCAGAGCTGAAGCTTCCCAGCAGACACGTGGATCGGGCCCGGAGCAAAGGAGAGCTGCCATCTCCCCCAAAGCACTAGCCTCACACATCCAAAGCGGGGCACACCCTCGCTCCTGAACAACTGTCCTGAGCAAAGGATGGGGGAGAAATTTGTTCCGTTCTGCCTGCAATGCACCTCTGACTGAATTTCGCCCCTCCAAACACCTCTGCAGAGCAAAATGCAGTTATCTTGCAGTTTGCAAGAGAATTTTCCAGTCAAGAAGCTTCCACAGAAATGTGCAGAAGGAAAATGACTTTCGACAACACATGAAATTCGGAAACGTGCGTACAAAAGGAAGCATCACGGGCAAAAATACTGATGAATTTGGAAATGAATTGTAAGGAAAACGGAAAAGCCTCACAAGTTTGGGAGGCAAGACTGGGAAAAGCGGGAAACGGAGAGCGGGCAAACAGAGAGATCTGTCCCTACTTTGAGCTTGGAGGCCATCTGCCCCACTGATGCAATGCTTCGGGGTATGGGCTGTAACCGGGGAAGTAAAAGGAGGAAGCTCCTTAGAAGCTGAAGTCCGACGTTATACAAAAATAAAATCTCTCATCTCCTCCTCCCGCCACCGCAGGAAACAGTCCCAGGGAACCAACCCTTGGGAATGGGCACAGGAAGGGGCAGACCTTGGGTCCTTCTCGGAGGGGTGGGGGAAGGATTCTGGTGGACCTCCAAAGGGTCTGCTCCCTCTCCACCTCCATTTGGACCAACAAAAATGGGATCCGTGTGCCGAACAGCCGGGCATCTGAGCAGAGCAGGCGTTCTCCCGTCTCCGTCTCCCAGGCGTTGGAAGCGAAATTCGTCCTAGGGGAGGCCAGTGCGAGGCTGCTTCCGCAGGCCCTGAGGTCATCCGATCCGTGCCGTTATCCATCCGGCTCCTTGATTTCCGTCGCTCACTGATCCAAGAGGCACCCACCGAGAACACCCAGTGCCAGCGGGAAATAGAAGAAAAATATCAAGTCTTTCTTTGCTTGGTAGTTGCTGTTTTTAGTTTTTTTCCTATATATGTATATAAAAAAAGACACGTGTCCATCGTGGCGGAGAGGCGGAGACGGGCGAGAACAGGGGAGGGCCGCTCCCTCCCTCTCCGCCGTCTCCGAGTGAAGCGCCGGCCTGCAATGCACCATACACCCCACCTTCTGGCGCAACTGCCGGGATACATTCGTGCGCGGTTTCGGGGGAAGGCTTTGTGCTGCTGAGGCAGGTGGATTATTACTGGGCTTTGACGTTTGTCTGTAAAAGTGCCCCCTTTGCAGAACAGTTCTGGGCGGCGTCCCCATCTGGGGGTTTCCTGGGGGGCTGAGAAATTCGGAGGTTGCGCCATGCCTGTTCCAGCCAGCCTGTGGCCAAGCCGCCCCGGGAGCCAGATATGGGGGCCGTGTTTTGGTTACATGGCCTCGCGCCCCTCGCTGACCCCTTTAGTAGGTCCCGCATCTCCACCACCGCATCCGGGGGACAGCGGGCCATTTCTGCCCTGAGACTGCCCCTTCTTCCAGGAGGCACGTCTGTCCGCCGGGTGTCTGCCCGTCCATCCGTCCAGGACCGTCCCTCCTCTTCCTCACACCTTGAGCGTCTTCTCCGGCCCACCGCCGCTGGGGCTGCTGGCGACGCTGCTGCCGCTGTCGCCTCCGCCGCTGCCCTTCTTCTTCCGCAGGGTCTCGATCCAGCTTGTGCTGGTCCGGCCGGTGAAGCTGGACAGGGCCAGGGAGCTGAGGCGCATGTTCTTCCCGGACATGATGAGCTCGCCAAAGCCCTCCTGGTGGGAGAAGGCGTAGCCCGAGCGCCTCGAGCCCACGCGGCCCACCCGGCCCATGCACCGGTGCTGCGTCTTCTGCTTCTTCCGCACCAGCTGAGTGTAGCGTACCTGGGAAGAGACCGGAGGAAGTTGGAGGTCTGGTGAGCCGGCCAAGGCCAAGGGGGAGATGCGAAGAGCATCTGGTGTTCCAAGTAGCCGGCCCCCGAGCACGACAGCCCACCTTTTCCTTCCTGAAAAGGGGAAGGATACTGGAATCTCCCTCTAATTAATCAGCCACGTTTCCCTAACAGCCAGTAATTTAACCGTGCTTCTTTCTTTTGCTAACGGCTTCTACGATGCTCTTCTCTTGTCCTACAAAGACAGCCTGGCTGTTTAGCTTTAACCTAACGAAGCATTTTGGCTGAAGGGTTTGTCCTGGCCCTCGTGGTGGGAAGGGAAGCAGCAGCGCCTGGCCGAGGCCGAGGCCGGGGCCGGGGGGTGCCACTGCGCGCTCTGTTCGCGTGCCGTAAATGGCAATCCAAGCAACAAACGGACACGTGTGCTTCGTGTGGGCTGCTGCTGCGTCCAGCGCGGTACGACCGATTTGAAAGCGCTCGCGAAGAGAGAGGGGGGAAACGGCTCCCTTCGGTGGCCTTCGCCTCCTCCGCCACACTCACCGTGTCCGAGAGCTCGGGCTTCAAGTCCAACTTGAGGAAACGGAAGGCGACCACGGGCATGATGCACACCACCGTGGTGAGGGCGATGGTGAGCCACACGTCGGGCTGGGCGAGTGTGTTCTGGGCGTTACCTGGCCAGGTGAGAGGAGAAGAGAAGAATGGGCAAACGCCGTTTGAAGCTGGAGTGGAGCTCAGCTCTAACCCGAGGGCCTCTACTCCCCTGAAAGTAGCAAGCAGCCAGGAAGGGAGAAAACGCTCCCAGAATGCAATGCCCTTCAGCACAGTGCAGAATTTTCCCAGAATGCACTGGCCTTAACCACACTGGGAGTTTCCTATATCGCATTGCTCTTGGGAATGCGGAAAAATTCTCCCATAATGCCCTGCCCTTGACCAAATAGTGGCATCTTCCCAGAATGCACTGGCCTTACCCATACTGAGAAAGTCTCCTACAATGCCCTACCCTTGGGAACATAGTAAAACTCTCCCAGAATGCCCTTGACCAAATAGTGGAATTTTCCCACAATGCACTGCCCATTGCCACATAGCAGAACTCTTCCAATGCAACAGCCTTAACTGTACGGTAGAATCGTCTCATAATTCAACAATGCCCTTGCAGCAGGGCTGTCCTGTTTGACAGCCTTTGTCAGCAAAAGAACTTAACTGCTTTGTGCCCAGGCTGGATGACGGAGAGAGAGGGGACCGGGGCGCAGGCTGGAGCAAAGAGGAGGGCCTGGACTCACCAACAAAACGGAACTGGTTGGGAAAGAGCTGGAAGAGGCCGTCGCTGTGCATGGCGAAGAGGATGGCGAAGTAAACAGCCAAGCTGCCCCAGATGAAGAAATGGTTGATGGCCGTCCAGAATCCGGTGTCCAGGCCAATCTGTCAAGGGAAAGGGGGGCAGTCGGCAGGGGACCATGGGAAGAGGAAGGGAGCCCCACAAATAATAATAATAATAATAATAATAATAATAATAATTATTATTATTATTATTATTATTATTATTATTATTATTATATAGCGATTTAGATCCTGCCTTTTCCCCCAGCGTCAGAGAATGATTTCAGCTCAAGGCAGAATCAGACCCTCAGACGAGACAAAAGGGAACCCTCCAGAGGCAAACTGGAATGTTGTTGCCATGGTGGCAGGTTTTGGGAAGCAAGTAGCTCAGGACAACCCTGCCTCTCCCCTCAGTGTTCAGGCTTGACTCAGACGGGGCCTTTGGTGGGGCTGCCCTTCCTGCGGCTGCAACGGAGACTGGTTTTCTCACTCCAGCCGAGCTGGCCACAGGGCAAGGGGCACCAGGGCCTCCGTGATGTCTGGAACAGCTGCAGCGGCACCCCAAAAGAGGAGCTTCCCAGGGTTCCCAAGGCACTTCCCAACAGAGGTGCTGGGAACTCGCCCATGATGGGTGGAAAAGCTTCCCTGGACCCAGCTTAACTGCAGATCTGTGCACCACGATTCCCATTTTCCTGGGAAATGGCCTTCAGTATTCCCATATGGACTTACTGGGAGTTTGCCCATCTCTAGCTGAGAGGGGTCTTTAAAGCTAGGGCATTTGAAAGCCCCATTTTAACAGGTGTTTAATGCTTTGCTAGGAAGTATCAAAGATAAGATGGGGCATGTGCAAAGTGCGATTTCTGCACCACTTAGAAGCAGTAACTCCTACCCAAGCAGAGATCTGGGGGGCACAGTGTATTAGAAACGTGCATTCACCTGCAAGTCCCAGCTCTCCAACCAGACTCCCAGCTCAAGACAGAGCCAAGATTCTAGTCCTCATGTTGACAGACCACTTCTGGGGCAGAGCAGCTGCTGCAGGACTCGCCACAGCCAGGCACGAGCAGAAAGCCGGAAAGTGCCGGCAGGCTTACCTGCACGCTGACGACAATAACAAGAGAGGTGGCGACAGTGACGGCAAAGGACTGGTAGTCGGACAGGTGGGTGTTGTCGCTGAAGACGCCGTAGGGGATGAAGAACATGAAGACAGAGGTGTAGATGCCCTGAGCGATGCAGATGAAAAACTCCCGCTTGTTGAAGAGAAGGTTCAGCTGCCCAGGTTCGTACAGCTTGGGGTACTCCAGGCTACGATGCTCAGGCACATCCTGGAGCGAGACGAAGCAACACCCACATTTACCCTCTGCGGACGGCTCGCCCAGGCCCCGTCCTCCTTTCCTCTCCTGCCCCCATTGCTAGAGAACCGTAGGCGTCCTGCTGAGCAGAACCTGCACTGGCCCTCTGAGGATTTCAGCTGAAGCGGTGTTTTCACACACCTGGACTGCAAGGGGGTGAAGCACAGGCCAAATGTTTTCCAGCCTTCTGATATCTGGGGAAGCATCTTTCAGGGGGTTTTTTTTACAGGGCCTGGTAAAGCAACCTCTCCCTCCAAGGACCCCCATCCTTTCTCTCCCCCCGCCCTTCATCCCTGGAATTCCCCCCCGCCACAAGCTGCCGCTCTCCGATTCCCCACATCCCGCAGGCGGGTCATTAGAAGCTGCGCTCCGCCCAGCTGGGGAAGGCTGCTGAAAGCACGCAGCCTCTCTCCGTGCGTCCCGCCACCGCTTCGGACCCTTCAAGGTCATGTTTACGCACGGGTCACAGACCACAAGGCGGTGCGCGCTGAGCCGTGGCTCAAATAGAGGCGTAATGGAGACGTTTTTCTATGGCTGAGCAACCCTGGCCTTTCCCGGGGCGCCACATGGAAGAATTCGTTCCCATGGTGTGCTGAACATCCTCCCTCACCAGGCACAAAAGGTGCGCCAGTTTGGCAATGACCAGCATAGGTGACGGCTGGACATGCTGGTGAGGGCCTTCAGGTACACAGGTGTGGCTTTTCAGAGTCAGGAGGAAAAACAACTTCAGGTAGCTCTCTCTCTCTCTCTTCTTCTGTCTCTGTCTGTGTCTCTGCATCTGAGTTTAGGCCACAGTTTAACAAGGTGGCTTCCGCTTTCCTCTTCTTTAAGCTAAGCCGCTCCAAGCAAACAGCCTGGCTGCCATTTCATGCATAAAATAAGTCCGATGAGGAGCCAGGAAGCGTGCCAAGCGATTATTCCAGGGGGCTTCCCGTTCCCATGGGAACGGCCATACCGAATTGCTTAGCTCTCACCCCCAGTCACTCACAACAGAGATCAACAGGAGTCAAACTGGGATGGCCCAGGTTTTCCACATGGCAAAGACAAGAAGGCTGGTCTGCACAAGATAATTAATTTCCCCCCACTCAGACCAGAAAGGTTCACTTATTCCCTCCCCTTTCGGCAAAAGGGGTGTGCGTGTGCAAGGTGGCAAGCTGTTGTTGATTCGTGAAACTTTAGTCTAGCCATCCATTGAAGCAGCTCGGAGAAGTTGAAAGGAGTCCAAGCGGAATTCCCACAGTGGAGCTAAAAGATCAGGACTAGGGCCAGCTTGGCAAAGCAAGAGTGTCCTCGCACTATCAGCCCCGGGGCCAAATTTGAGTCCTGAGGGTGGGGCGCACGTGAGCGGGGGCGGGGAGCAGGGCAAAAGGGGTGGAGCCAAACATGGGGGGGACTGCGAAAGTCAGGCAGTGGGGAATGACAGGGAAAGGGGGTACAGCCGGGCAGGTGGGGCACGACAGTCCGGGGCCAGGCGGAGAATCTCAGCGCTCGATGCCCCCGGGGTGGCTCCACTCATCTTTCCCTGGCCTCATCCCACCTTGCAGCAGCCGGAGACGGGATTCCCGGAACTGACCTGGTCGAAGACACCCATGGCGAGCACAGGCAGCGAGGTATAGACAATGTTGTACAGTGTGATGAAGTACTGATCATACACAGTCTTTGGGGTGGGGAAAAGAGAGAGAGAAATTGCTGGTCAAGGCGGTAACCTCACGATCTCTGCTGCCCCCGTGACCGGCTGCAGACGGGAAACGCCCCCCGCCTGCCCGGGCCCCCGGCCGCTCCTGCTGCGCCCTCCCCGGCGAGTACCTGAGCGGAGAAGCCGCAGAAGAAGCCGAACCAGAAGTGCACCATGGTGAAGGCAAAGTTCTTGTAGAAGAAGTAGCAAAGGAACTTGCACATGCGCAGGTAGGACCAGCGGCCGTGGACCAGCAGAAGGCGCTGCAGGAACTTGAACTGCGAGAAGGAGTAATCGGACGCCAGCACCGCCTGGATGCCTTCTTGGCCGCTGATGCCGACCCCGATGTGGGCCGCTGAGGAGGGAGGGAGGAAGCGGGATCAAGCAGGGGGGTCAGGCTCCGTGGGCACCTGGCACTGGCCTGCTCTTCCTCCCCCTCCCACCTGGACGCCCGACCCCTTAAGATGCACGGGGACGGAAGTCAAGGACGCGCTGCGCTCTGGCAGACGGATGGGCAAAGGGGATGTTCTGGATCGCAGTCCCCGAGACCCTGGCCATGTCGCCAAAGACCGTGAGGGGTGGCAGTGGAAAATCCACGTGATCCAGGGGTCTGCTGGCTGTCCAGCCTTGCTCCCGAAGCAGCTGCACCGGTCTTGACACAACTTTCCTACCACCCAGCACTGGATGCCGTCAGACTGCCTGCGGCACGTCCTCCCAAACCCCAACCAGGATTGCGAGGCCGCCAATTTAAATGGATGGCATGTCAGCCCGGAAAGAATCCCAGAGGCTTGGCACACATCAGATCTTCCCCCCCCCCCCCCAGTTCCCATCATCTGTAACTGTTCAGAATGCTGGCTGGGGCTGATGGGAGCTGAGGCCCATCTGGAGGGGACCTGGACAACCACAGGATCCACGAGCCTCTTTCAGCCTAAGCCCAAGTTGCATTTTGGAGAAGTTCTTGGGGCAGGTTGCGTGCAAAATTCTGCAGGGCCAAATATACCAACCTAATCTCGGTTAAAGCTCTTCCTCCTGTAACAGACCTATAAAGTCTGATGGGACTTGGGATTGCAAGGCCTCTTGGAGTGCCTCTCTCCCCAGTCCACCCAGACACTATTTTTCAGTGGTGTCCCCTCGAAGGAAAAAGCATCTCACAGCCTTCACTGGCATATGTAGTGGCATATGTTATTTTTTAATAACAGGTCTGGCTTTATCAAACTTGTTTTAGTTGTTCAACTGTTTCAAATACTGTTTTAATTCTTTTTTGCTGCTTTTATTATATTTGTATTCTAGACCCCATTTCCTTGTATTCTGTGAATTCTTGTAAACAACGCATAGAAAAGAATAGAGCAGAGCAGAGCTCTGCAGGATGATTTCCGCTCCCTTTTGCCCCAGGACTCACTTTTGATCATGCTGACGTCGTTGGCCCCGTCCCCGATCGCCAGCGTGACGGCCTTCTTGTACTTCTTCACCAGCTCCACCACTTGCGCCTTCTGCAAGGGGGTGACGCGGCAGCAGATGACGGCTTTGCAGGCACAGGCCGTCTCTAGAAACTCCAGCTCCATGTCGGCCTCCAAGGCATGTGCCTACGGGAAGCGGACACAACGAGGACAACATGACACAGGGCCAGTTACTGCCCGAACAGAGGGGCACAAGCCGGGCTCCAGCTCCACAGATGAGTAGGATTTGAACCCGAGCCTCCTGGGGGCCTGTATTCCAAACCCAGCCTCCTTCAGATCCACTGTCCTCCAGATATTCTGCTCTGGATCTCCCATCATGCTGAACCAAAAGCCATCCAGGCTCAGGCCAATGAGAACGGGGGTCCCAGCACCTGGTGGGCAAGCAGCTGGATGGCCGCGGAGGTGACTCTGGGGGGATGGCGACTCAAAAGGCAGCGGCTCGATGCTGCTTCTTTCCTCATCTCATCAGGAAAGTAATAAATTGCCTTCCGAGAGGTTTTTCTGCTTCTCTAATTGACAGGTGAGCATAAATATTTTGTTTATTGCTCTGGTATTAACAAGAAGGCGAGAGAAAGTTAACTCGAATGAGTTCAGAGTCTTGCCCCCTCACATGAACTTTCTCTTTTCTTTCATCCTCTTTTTTCTTATTCTATTTTGTATTGTTCTTCTGCTTTGCCAAGAGAACAACAATATCACTTCAATTTGCTGCTGTTTGGATTTTTAAGGCATTTTCTGTTTGCATTCTTTGAAGGGACTTTGGAACGTAAAATTAGATGATTAATGACATTTTACATGTTTAAAGTTTCTGTCTTAGAACTAAGAATTGAGAAGTGAGGATGGTGTAAACTAACCTTGGCATGAGAATATTAGCTGGGAGTATTTTTCAGTTCACTTTGTGGCATTTCAATTGAAGAATAACTGCGCCCTTCGGACGGCTTGGATTTGAGGCCGAGATTATTTCTCAAGGCATTCCTGTGTGTACGCTTGGAAAGAACTTTGAAAGAGATATTTAACAATACCTTGTTTGACTTGTAATGAGAGCTTATTTTGCACTTCTATCAAACTTGGGACTTTTTTTATTATTGGCTAGAGAAATGGGACTTCACATAGATTTAAATATGCTTTTAAGTTATCATAAATGGAAAAAGAAGGGTGTGGGGGCTGACCCAGCGAGCCCGATGTTTTTGATGATGGATGTTGTTTGTAGTTTTTTGTTTGTTTTTTAGCATTATAATTTCAAATAAAACTTATTTAAAAAAAAAGTTCAGGGGTGTTTCAAACGGAAAAAGGAAAGCATTAGAATTTGAACTGGTTAGAAAACCTGTTGATGTATAAAATAATGATTCTTCATTCTTTCTTGCTAACTCTCATAGAGCCTGGGAAGGTATGAACAGGGTTAACTCTGGTGGCTGCAGTATATGGGATGTATTGTTTGTAATTCCCTTGGCCACTTTATTTTGCTCGCTTTAGCCTGTTCTGTTTATGTTATTTTCCTTTGTTCGTTTTTTTTTCCCCTAGGTCATTGTAGATGTTGGGAAAATAAAAATTATTTTAAAAAATGGATCTCTGCGGACATCCCATCCCTCTAATATTGCATGGAGGCGACACTTGTGAATTTTGCTTCAACGGTGGATCATAACTCTCTCTCACAGGCCTCGACAGAAAAACGGCCCAGTGGAAGGCCAAGCTCTTGCCGAGAGGCAGCAGGGGGACCAGGTAGGAGCTGTGGACCAGGCCATGTTCCACGGATCGTCTCTCCTCACCCCTTACCAGACTATGACCATTGATAACTAAGGCGTATTCGCCCGCCACGGCTTCCAGCATGGATGTCAGGTTCGAGGCGGAGAACTTCTCTTGGTAGGTGAAGCCATTCCCCATGGTCCTTGAAGAATCCATCAGTTTCTCCCGAGCTTTCCTGCCAACAGGAAGAGGAGAAAGGATTGAGTGCATCTGGAGGAAAAGGTATGGCATCTGAACAAAGGGAGAGGCAGGAGAGGGGTGTACAGAACACTGGAAAAAGTGGAGAGACACAGATTGTGAGAGAGACACTTCAAGTGTTCATTCCAAAAAGCTGAACGATGTGAGATTTGGGACAGTTAAAAGGAGAGGCTTCTTCACTCCATGCAGAATTAAACATCCAACGATATTTATTATTATTATTATTATTATTATTATTATTATTATTAGAACATTTCTATGCCGCCCCTTGCCGAAGCCTCAGGGCGGCTTACAACACAATAAAATACAATAAAATACAAAAATAACAATATAAAATTAAAATTAACAATATAAAATAAATAAAAATATAAAATATAAAAGAAGTCGCCCTGGCCAGATTTGAAAGGTTTTTAAAGGGGACTCGACAAACAGATGGAGAAGTTTGCCAAAGGCTGCTGGTTCTGATAGTTACATGCAGATTGGAGGCAGCACGAATTTGTATGGCGCTTGCTGAGGAACGCCTTTGTATGCCGCTTGTGGAAAGGTGCTGCTCTTGTGTTTGTGTCCTTCTTGCACGTTTTCCCTGAGTAGCTGGGTAGCCACTGTGCACTTGGCCTGATCCAGCACTGGGGCTCTTAGGATCCTGTGATTAATACAACAAGATTTCTCTTCCTTTCCAAACCTTGGAAAGGATTTGTTTAAAGTTCTTGTATCCTGCCTTTCACAATGTCTCAGGCTGGCAACACAGTGAAATAAATATAAACATGGTACAGCATCCCTAACAAATAAAATCCCAAGTAAAAAAACAAAAACAAACATTTAAAATAATGGGAAAATAAAAAGGTTTCGGCCTGGCACTGAAAAAAGCATCGGTGCCAGGCACATCTCTCTGGGGAGCAAGTTCCAAAGTGAAGGTGCCACCACAGAGAAGGCCCTTCTCACATCGCCACTCCTCTGCTCTTCTTTGAAGAGGGCTCCCAAAGAAGGGCCAGATCTTAGGGGGTGGGCTGGTTTATATGGAAGGAGGCACTGCTTCAAATATCCAGGTCCTAAGCCGTTTAGGGCTTTAACAGTCACCACCAGCGCCTTAAATTGGGCCTGGACTTCAGTCGGAAGCCAGTGCAGCTGATGCATAACCAGTGTTGTGTGTGTCTATTTGCCGCTTCCCGCTGGCAACCTGGTGGCTTCTGTCCTGAACCAACTGAAGCATCCAGACCGTCTTCAAGGGCAGCCCCACATATCTTGTGGCCTTATCTGCTCAAAGCAATCAAAGTGGTGCACGGCTATTTACAATGACATGAAACCTTGAAAGAAAAACAAGAATATTAAAGATGGTAAAAATATTAAGAAGAACCTGGCTTAAGGTTCTTCACTCTATGCCTGTTGAGACAGAAAAGTGCTCCAAGATGTTTAAAGGTAAAGATAATTATTTACCCTGAAAATTACATGGAGCAAATGCATCGGAACACAATGTAAAGGCAAAGAGTGTTCTGGAAGGAGTACATTCCATAGTTCGGGAGCAAGAGAGGAAAAGCCCTTCCGTGGATGCCCCACAAGCACGGGTAACGGACCATCCCAAGGGCCCCTCCTGAGATCTTTAAACCCGAGCAGGTTCCTACCAAGCTTTAGATCATAATCAGCACTGCAAAACGCCAGGTGAACAACACCAGAGGCATTCGAGAAAAATCCACGAAGTGCCAACAAAACACCCTTTCCAGACTTTCCAAGACCCAGGGAAACAAGTCTAAGCTTCTGCAGCACCTAAAGCTTTTTCCCTGGAGCCAAGGAGAGGAAATTCCTGAAGGGAAGTGAGCTACTAAGAAGGCCAGGCCCTGGGCCAGTGCTCCATCCAGCCTGGCGCTCTGTTCATATAAGGGCAAGCCAGCTGCCCAAGCCAGGATGCCTTGAAAGGGATGCACACAAGAGTTCTGGCCGTCCAGGCCCCTCGGCAACTGGTGGACGCAGGCAGCAAGCAGCCGGCAAGGCTAGTAGGCCCGATCGCCGCCTCCTCCATGAATTTGTGCAATCCCCTTTTAAAGCCCTCCAAAACTGGAGGCCATCAATTGAACTGTGCGTCGTGCGGAGTACGGCTTGGCCAGCGTCTTCACTCACCGCAGCTCCTGTCGAACCTCCAGGACGGTGTGGCCCGTGATGATGAACACTTCCGTCATCTCGTCCGTGAGCATCTTGCAGGAGTAGCCAATGTTCACCGCCGTCTCTGAGGAAGGAGCAAGAACAACTCTGAGCCTGGAGCCTGGCCTGAATCTCAGACCCTAAACCCAGAACTTAAGTTGCGACAACAGGACAAGCGCGATCGTTGTAGAACAAGGCTCAACCTCAGAACAAGAATGTCAAAAGGAAGGAGCACATAAAAACAATAGCTCTTCTTTGCCAATCCTCAGGAACACAAATTCAAGAAGTGCTACGGAAGGACCTCCCCTCTAAAGGTTCCTCCTTCCTCAACTTTCACCCCCTGCAAACATTGCTAAGCGAATTACTTTCCTCTTCCCTCCCCATGTATTTTCCTTTGGTGCTGTATGTCTTTAGAATATAAACCTACAGGTAGGAACTGTCTTGTTCCACTTTGTGGGAAAAGAGCAGAGTAAGAATAAATACATATTATTGTTTTGCATTGCAGTGTATTTTATTATAAAATAATTTTATTTATTTTATTACATGTTAGATTATTCCCTAACACAATCCATACTAAGAAAATGTATCCTTTGGCTGGTTAGGTACTAAATAATAAGAAATGATAAAAGGAGGAAGAAGGAAGAAGAAATATAATAAATAAACATGAAAAATATCAACAACACATGTTGTGTAAGCCCCTCCTCCAGGTACCTTCGTTGATAAAAACTTGTAGAGTGACACCAAGGGAGATGGCCTTCTCAGTGGCAGCTCCGCAACTGTAGAATGAACATTTTGCAAGGCTAACCAGGCACCAATATAGTTATTTTTTCGGCATCAAGTTAAGATTTTATTCCTGGGCACTTGGCAACATATGATAGGTTTTAATTAAGTCATGGAATTTTGTTGATATGTTTGTGTGTGTGTGTTTGCTGTCTGTGGATACGTTTGTGCCAAAACTGTTGTTTATATTAGACACAAATCGTATTTTTAAAGGATTTGATCTTTGTAAACTGCCCCGAAAGCTTTGGCTACCGTATAACGTATGAACCCAGGAACTGTCAGGACAACATCATTCCACTTCCCATCTTCCCCAGCAACTGGTGGGCAGACGCGTTCGGTCTGTAATACTGGGAGGAGGATATAAGCCAGAATCAAGCCATAGATAGCTCGAAAGAAACATACTAAATGAAAATGAACAAAACACAATGAACTGAAAATATTCAGCCACTGCACTGTTGAGAGGAACTCTGGAAAGGAACCCATCTTGGCAGCACTTCAAAATCTTCACCTTGCTTGTCTCCGGTCAACACCCAGATTTTGATGTTTGCCAGCGTGAGCAGGGCGATGGTTTCCGGAACTCCCTGCTGCAGCTTGTCTTCGATGGCCGTAGCTCCCAGCAGCTGGAGGGAGAGAAAAGCAAAGACGGTCGGGCCTTCTTGCACTGCCAACTCCATCTGATCCTCACAACAGCCCTTGGAGGTAGCCCGGGCCGAGAGTCGGCGACCGCCCCAAAGCCAGCCAGGGAGCTCCGTGGCCGAGTGGGGACTGGGATCCGGTTCCCCCAGTGCCAGCCCGGCTCCCCAGCGACGACACCACACGGGCCCGAGATGGGCGGCGTACCATCATGTCGTTCTCCACTTCCTCGTAAAGCCGAGCCAGCCGTTCCTCGCGGCCCTCGCTCGCGGTGCTGGCCCGCTGCAGGCGCTCGGCCCAGCCCACGTAGTAGCTCTCCTCCAGGTCACGGTACGCCAGCACCAAGGTACGCAAACCTTCTCCGGCGTACTCCTGCAAGCGGCGAGGAGAGGGAAGTCAGGCAGGGGCGCCATCCACATCCTTCCTCACTCTTCCCTGTCTATTTATTTCTGCAGGTCTGGCTTGCAACGAAACATTTTATTTTATTTATTTCCGATTTATATCCTGCCTTTTTCCTACGAAGGGCTCAAGGCAGCTTACATCCTCCTCCATCTTATCCCCACAACAACAACCCTGTGAGGTAGGTTGGGCTGAGAGTCTGGGACTGGCCCAAAGTCACCCAGTTGGCTTCATGGCCGAGCGGGGACTCGAACCCGGGTCGTCTGAGTCCCAGTCCCACGCTCTTGACCACTGCGCCACATTGATTTATTCAAAACATTCCTAGGCCGCCCCCATCGCAACCAAGCCTCGGGGCGGCTCACAACATTCATAAAAAGATACCATCAATAATTTAAAAACTGGTACCACCTCGGCTATATATATTAAAATCTATAAATACAATAATAATAAATTAACAGTTAAAATAACTTTTAAATAAAAAGGTCTTCGCTTGGCGCCGGAAAGCAAATAACGACGGCGCCAGGCGGACCTCTCTGGGGAGCGCATTCCATAGACTGGGCACCACCGCAGAGAAGGCCCTCCTCCGAGTACATACCCTCCTAATTTCTTTCACAGAGGGCTCCCGGAGAAGGGCCTCTCCCGCAGATCTCAAGGGGCGGCCGGGCATATATGGACGCAGGCGTTCCTTCAGGTAACCAGGACCCAAGCCGTTAAGGGCTTTATAGGTCATAACCAACACCTTGAATTGGGCCCAGACTTCAATAGGGAGCCAGTGAAGCTGACAGAGAACTGGGGTTAAATGTTGCAGCAAGGAGCTGCGCCGTCTGCCCCTAACGTCACCGGCCTGCTGGGTTGGTCCAAGGGTCCGGGGGCAGTAAGATTCCTGGATCAAAACAGGCGTCTGTGTAACATTACACTGTCTAGTCTCTACTCAGAGAACATGGGCTGTTCCGATGTTGCATTTCTGTTAAAAATAAAGACTTCGGTCCATGCCGGTTTCCCCTTCCGGGGCTTGTGTTCTTGTGGGACAACTTCCCATATTCAGAGTTTTGTGTTCCCCTGGCTTGCCACAGTCTCCTCCAGGGCTGATTTTCAAGCAGCGATGCATGCAGTGGGGCAAAATAAGGCCCCAAAATAAACTGAGAAGAGGAAACCCGCTGCTTTTCCTGCCAAGTTTTAAGCTAAAAGTGAAGAGGAACTTACATGTCCCAAATTCTTCACAGCTCTGTTTAAACTGTATTTATATTCATTTCGAACGGTTTATATATTCCGCGGAGCTCCAAATGGTAGGCATGGTTCTCTTCCCACCCCACTTTAACTTCACAACAACCCTGCAAGGTAGGCCTGGCTCCTGATTTCAGGAGCGGGCAATTTGGCTGTGGTGGTGGGGCCATGCGCCTCCCCAGTGCTGTCAAGTGCTGCACCCCACAGGGCCAGATCTCCAGGGATTGTCCTCCAGATGTTTTAGACAAGAGCTCCCAGCATTCCTGGTGCCTGGCCATGCTGGCTGGGGCTGATGGGAACTGGAGGTACTTCCCTGCTAAGCAGGAAGGCACATGCAGTCCCTCCAGCTGTGCTGTCAACGATCCCTCCATCCATCTGTCTAGAGTATTTGTATGCCGTCCCATCGCAAAACCTCGGGACAGCTTGCATAAAATAAAATAAAACATAATACACATAAAATCCAGATCCACCCTGGCTGCAGATTAAAACCTATATAGCTGATGTTAAAAGTTATTAAAATATTGTTGAAATAAAAAGGTCTTAGCCTGGCACCAAAAAACCAAATAACGACGGCACCAGGCGGTCCTCTCTGGGGAGCGCATTCCATAGATGGGGCGCCACTGCAGAGAAGGCCCTCCACCGGGCACTTTGCCTCCTGATGTCTTTCACGGAGGGCTCCTGGAGGAGGGCCTCTGCGGCCAATCTCAGGGGGCGGGAGGGCAAATACGGAAGAAGGCGTTCCTTCAGGTATCCAGGTCCCCAACGATCTTCGAAGAGCCAGGTGCCTCCAGCTCCCACACCGCCCCGCTTCCCCACTCACATTCAGGTGGTCGGTGGTGGTATTATACAGCTCCTGGTTGCCTGGGTGAAGCTTCTCCAGCAGGATGGTGTCGGCTCCTTTGCAGTAAAGTCGGATCTGCCCCTCGTGGTTCCGCACTTAGCAACGAACGGGGGGAAAGACCAAGAACATCTCAGTTTAAGCAAGAGAGAGCAAGCAGGATCTCTGGCTAGTGCAACTTTCTTCCAAGGAGCTTACGCAGCTTGCACTGTTCTCCCTTCCATGCTTTTCCTCCCAAACAACAACCCTGTAAGGTGGCTTAGGCTGAGAGAATGGACTGGCCCAAAGTCACACTTTGTGGCCAAGCAAAGGACAATCAAAAGGGGAGTGGGGGCCTCTTCACTGACTCTGCTGAGACAACAGCAGCCTCTGGCTCACCTCCAACCATCACCTGGCAGCCGTACTCCATGAGACACAGGGAGAACAGGAAGGGAAGGAGGGTCACTCCCTCAGGTCTGCTAAGACACCGACTCCCTTTGGCTCCTTTTCTCCCTGAACTTTTCCCAGCCCAGTTTAAGAGCTCTGGGACTCTAGGGAGGGAAGAACAGGCTCTAGGGAGGATGAGGCATTGCAAAGTGCAAAACAATTGGGGAAGCCCCAAAGCAGAGAGGGTTTTCCAGCCCCTGCTCCCTCCTGGATGCAAAGCCCATGATGCAAAGCCCAGCTCTGCCACCGGGACACAGGGCCCTGCTGAGAGGCTCCTGCAGCCGGGACTGCGATCCCCGGCCTCTCGAATTCCATCCCCTCCGCCTGCCATCTTTCTCTCTCACACACACAACTCTCACACAAGTGTTTTCTCACCAATGACCGACATGCGCTTGCGGACGTTGTTGAAGTCCAAGATGGCGAGGAGATGGTAGGTCACGGGCCGCCCCAGCTCTTGCACCGTGATCGTCTTGGGGGTGCGCCCCCGGAAGACAAAGCCGAAGCTGCGGGCGGCTGTGACCAGCGCTCCCTCATCGGGCGACTGGGCCTTGTAATACAGCTCCCCTGGAGAAAGACAGGAGGGAAGGTGGAAAAAGCAGATTCCGGCCCGGCTGGGCAGACAGTTCCCCAGGCTTCCCTCACTCCATCTCCCTTCATACAATGAAGACACAAGACGCCAATTCTAGCTCTTGGCACATTATGGGCATCACGGTTCGCTCAACTTTCCACGCATCTATTCATTTTTAAAGACAAGTCATTGTCTTGATGTGACATCCGGTCTTTGCTAACATATGGACAGTGGAAGCCCTCCAAAGCGTCCCAAGCGGGACAGCCCTGCTTAAAAAGAGAAATCTGGAGAGAGAAGCAATACCAGGAGGCAGGTGCACCCCCCGTCCTGCACGCACCCCCAGAAATGAAATGGGCGTAGTTGGCCAGGGTCACATGACTCAGCAGCCCACCTGCGCCTCCCGAATCCAGGTGAGGCTGCGCGGCTAATCCCCACTTTGCCGAGCCGGACGAGAAGACAGCAGCGTCGCCCAGCCTGTTTAACTCTTGCTCAGCCCCGACTCCCCAGAGTGGACATGCCTAACCCTGCCCCCCACCCCCCTTTGAAGAGCCCCCAATTCTACCTGGGCTCTTTTCCTCGGACATGACTGTGTGGCAGAGAGAGAGCAGGCGGAAGAATTCGTGCACGTGAGGGTCGCCCAGCTTGACCGCTTCCAGCAGGCCTGAGTCCCAGAAGGTGAACACAGGGTCGGCCAGAGGGTTGAAGGAGAAGTCCACCGGTTCCGTCCGCTGGAGAGGACAGGAGGAGAGCAGAACGTCGGCGTTCGACGTGAACGAGGAGGGGCTTTGACGCCGGTCGCGTGGGGCTAAGTCAGGGCAAGGAGCTTTGCGGGGCTGGGTTTAAGAGGCTTGGGGAGGGGGTTTTAATTACATTTCTAAGCTGCCCAATGCCAGAGCTTACCGGGCAGTTCACAGCAGGTAAATATACAAGTTAGAAACACAGAAACAGAGCGAGTCAGAAGGGGCCTCCCGGGCCATCTAGTCTGACCTCCGGCTCCAGCCGGCTCCGCTCATGACATGCCCACCATGTGCATGTCATAAGAACATAAGAAGTTCCAGTATAAGAGCTTGTAAAAGGTTTAAGGACGACAACGACAACGACAAAAACCCAGCAGTAGTGGAAACACTGCAGCAAACTGAAAACGATAAAAACTTAAATGCCTGGAAGGTTAGAACAGCCCTCATGTGGGGTTGGAAAGATCGCAGCACAGACGGCATCTCTGACGGAGGCGTGCCCCCACGTGCGGGTCCTCTCCTTAACCAGGCACCCATCTCACCTCATCTGGTGGTGGCGCCCAGGTGAGGGCCTCTGAGGGATCTGGCAGGTACATCCTCCAGGTAACCTGATCCTAAGCCACACAGGGCTTTGAAAGTTAGTGCTGGCACTTCAGACTGGGCCTGGGAATGGGCCGATGGCACACACGCCTTATCTGCACAGCTGTGGCACTTCCAAGGGGTTGGGGTGGGACAGCCTAATGGGTAGAGCACCTGACCTGTGTACATGGAGCCCCAAGTTCCATTGGTGGCACCCGCATTAAAAGAAGGTTCCTACCTCTCCGAGCTCAGCCTTGTAACCCGGGACATCCAAAACATCACCTTGAAAGAGAGGGGGGGGGCATTAAAACATGGGAAGCAGGAGGGCGAACTGTGGGAGGCGTAAAGCATGAGCCTGGGCATCCAACGTGGGAGCGACGGGCGTGAGCAAAGAACACGGGAGACCAGCGTGGGGGCAGGAGCCGTAAACCATGGAAGCTGCAAAACGTGGGAATCAGACCTGGAAGGCATCAAGCAGGCAGGAGAACACAGGCGCCCGAGCCCCTCGCACCGCAGGGAGGATGACGCGGAGTGAGGCCGGCTCCCCGGCCACGGGTCCGATGCTGGAGGCGCCGTTCCCGGTCCCCCGGGGAGCGTTCCTGGGTCCCGGAGGGCAGGACTGGCCCTCCTGGGCAGCCTGGGAAGGTGGAGCCCCATGGCACGGGGGGCACACGCGTCCTTACCGTAGCTGCGCCCGTTGACGGAGCACTTGCTGAAGACCATGATGTTCTGGGTGAGGGTGCCAGTCTTGTCGGAGAAAATGTACTCCACCTGCCCCAGCTCCTCGTTCAGCGTGGTAGTCCGGGCCTCGGCCGGCGTGCAGCGCTTGGCGCAGTACATCTTCTTGTCCCAGTTGATGAAGTAGCTGTGCCCGAGACGGATCACCTCCACGCTGGAGGAAGAGGAACCGGGAGGAGGGGCTCAGGGCGCAGCTGAGGAGGGCCCCCTCCCCACAGAGGGGCTGACCCCAGCTCCCATCTTCCCCACAAGCAGCCATCACCAGGCCTGGGCCCAGTCCTCGCCAGGCGCATGTTCTGGTGGCAGAGCACCGAAGCAGCGACGATCCCCCACTGGGGACTGGGCCAAACAGTCCTGGTGCCAGGCGGGCATCACCCAGTCTGGGCTCTGCCGCTGAGGGTTCTGGGAGAAATCCACAACACCCTGCAAGGCAGTCTGATTTCTGCGACTCCAACGCTGCAGTGGAGCAGCAGCGTTGGAGTCACACAGATCCCCTGAGCCTGAGGGCCCGGCTCTGGCTTGCAGGCAAATTTAGTCGTGCAAAAATAGGAAAAATGCAAACAACCGAGAAATCCATGCTTTCAGGCTGAAGAGGGGGAATCAGTACTCGGGGAGATTCGCAGATTCGCACAAGCACGTGTGTGCGCTTTCCAACCTGGACATAAGTTCAGAAAATTGAGAAAAACCCCCGATGGGCAAATAACAAAAGGCAAGACACAGGCCAATCTGCCACCACAAAGGGACAAAACAAAATCCAGTCCATTCTGTGCGTTGCAGTGTAACAAGGCCACAAGGTGCTGCCGTTCTGTTTGCCCCAACCAGCTCTGGTGCTCACAAGATAGACTGCTCCTGAACACAGAAGCTCCATGCTGCATTTGGCTGTCAATTTTTTTAAAGTTCATGGCAATGACTTGCTTTTGTTCGGGCTGCTTCAGTGGCTACTTTTGTAAAGAAAAGGGGCATGTGGATATTTTTCAACAAAAATGGGAATACGTTTCTCTGCTGCAGATCAAAACCAAGCACACGCAGACAGGACTAGCTTGCACCGCTCCCACAATACTCCGTGGCCTGGTTCCCTGAGGGGGTGGGATGGGCTTCCCCGGGAGGTGGGTGAGGCCCCATCGGTGCGGGTGTTCAAGGACAGGCTGGACGTGCACATGGGGGGCGTGTCGTGAGCGGAGCCGGCTGGAGCCGGGGTCAGACTAGATGGCCCGGGAGGCCCCTTCTGACTCGCTCTGTTTCTCTGAGGGTCGTTTAACCCTCAAACAACCCCTGCCACCCTCCAGTCTCCACACACATGAGCCACAACCCACCAGGGCTTAAATAAACCTTGTGGGCTCTCTTGGGTTTCTCGCAAAAGGAAGAAAGGTGGGAAATATATATCGTATGTCATCGTCATCTTAGCCCCATTTGGGGTGGACTCACTGAGATCATCTGCCTTTATTTGCAATGTGTCTACTCTAAATCCAACAACGGCTTGCTCCGCATGACACAACAGCCCATGGTTTAAACAACGCAGAGTACACAACTGGACAACAAACCATGGGTCCTCCTTCTAGATTGTTGGTAGTTACCATTTCACAACTGGATAGCGTGGCTGTAACTGCTCGCCATGACAATCCCGTAATCAATAACCCACATTGCGGGTTAGTGTCATGTGTGTACGGTATCCTCCTCTCCCTGTGACTGTGCCTGGATCTAAAATGAATTTCAGCTCCAGTTTCTAGGAATATATCCTGCAGTTTTCAGAGGAGATGGACTTTTCCAAATTAAATGGATTCCACGCACTCGCCTTTGCATTTTTGGAGCGGCGGGGGGGGCGGTCCATGCCGACGCACGAATCGCGCAAGATCAGAGAAATAAAGGAATGTGCATCTGAGCAAGGGTCCGAAACGCACATTTGTACAAAGTAGTGTGCACGGACTAAATTTCTCATTTAAAAAAACCCGATTCTGGCAGCAAGCACAACATGGAACGAGAGGGGCTCGAACACTCTGCAGAGACAAAAACCAAGAAGGGCCCAATTTCACTGCACCTCCCCATCCCTATTCTGAGCTCACGGCGTACGGAGAACAGAGGCAGGTCTACAAACGAGGGCAGAGCGGGGAATCGGAGTGCCACAGGTCTCCAGCGCTTTGTGCTGGCGGGGGGCGGGGTGTACAAAGTAGTGTGCACGGACTAAATTTCTCATTTAAAAAAACCCGATTCTGGCAGCAAGCACAACATGGAACGAGAGGGGCTCGAACACTCTGCAGAGACAAAAACCAAGAAGGGCCCAATTTCACTGCACCTCCCCATCCCTATTCTGAGCTCACGGCGTACGGAGAACAGAGGCAGGTCTACAAACGAGGGCAGAGCGGGGAATCGGAGTGCCACAGGTCTCCAGCGCTTTGTGCTGGCGGGGGGCGGGGTCTGGCAGGGTTGGGCCAAATGGGGCATCCCACCCCCTGCCCCTGCCTCGGGGGTCCCGGCACAGCTGGCAGTTAGCGAGGAGAAGGGCAGGCAGCTGCAGCGGGAGCGGGGGGGCCGTGCTCTTACCTGGGGACTAACACAGAGAGAAAGAGATTCATGCTGGAGAAGGCCAAAGGAGAAAAAGAGAGAAATTAAGAACGGGGAGAGCGAGGGGGAGGACACACACAGGTGAGAAGGGCTGCAGGCAGAAAAGCAGGAGAAACCGAACAGGTAGTGGTGGAAAGTCGGGGTGGGGGCAGGTGGGACATCTTTGGGAGAAGTTGGGGTCAGCGGTAGAGATCATGCAATAAAACCGGTCAAGCTTTTTCCAGGTACAGACAAACAATACACAGGAGGGATCTGTTCAGCAGCAGCAGGCAACCAGATGCCTTGGATTGCAACTCCCATCCGCCCCAGCCAGCATGGTTAAAGGCAAGGGTGTGCGGTGTTTGTGGTCCAAAACATCTGGAAGGGTACCAAAGCCGGTCTAATATGCACATTTATATATACATGGACAAATACACACGAGTCCACCCAAAAATTTGAGCGGGGTCCCGAGGCTGCTCCAGTGTACCAGGTTAAGGATGGGAGGACACGCCTGCTGAGGCTGCAGCGACAGCTAAGCAGCACTCACGGGCCAGGTCCCGAGTTCGAATCTCACTGCAGCCACAAGCCCAGGGGGCGGCCGTCGTGAGCAAGCCGCTCTCCGCTCAGACTGACATTTGCCACACGGGCGGCCTAAGGCCGGCCTAGCCGTAAAGAGATGCTGCGTGGAGCTCTGAGACGGCACGTTGAACGAAAACCCTTTGCTGTGAGGAATGTTTAATTCTTTGGCAAACAGTGCTCAGTTTTTCACTTCCTTCGGAGCATGAGCCCAAGCAAGCAGGGGACAAAAATGTAAAACCCACACACCAACCGTGCTGTAACTGTTACAATGCCCATATTGCGGAATATAATTTGGGAGTATGCGCCGCGAGCCACGTAACGTCTAGCCCCTCTTCCCGCTGCCTATTTTATCAGCGGCATTCTCAGTAGATCATTAATAACGATAATAGACTTAATCATGGCATAAAGACGGGAATGTCAATATTTGCCTCGTTACTCCTGCTGGTTGGCTATAAGCTCGTGCCACAAAATACCTGACGTAAAGTGAGATGGGGACGACGGTGTTGAGGATGATGATGTAGGACCAGAAGGAGAGGAAGCCAGAGAAAAAGGCACTGTCGACCGCCTCGTCCCAGGGCAGGTAAATTTGGAAGCAGGCGCCCACTTCGTGTTCCCAGATGGAGTTGCCAATGGCCAAGATCACGCCCATGCACACCAGAAAGCCAAAGATCTGCCGGGGCGGGAGCAGAGAAGAGACAGCATATGAAAAAGGCACAAAGGATCAGAGGAACAGAAGCGGGAAGGGGCATGGCAAAAGCCCCAGGACGGGGTGGGGACGGGTGGCCTCACCTACCCAAAGCACCAGCGTATTCATTAAGCGATCGATGCTCGTCCTCTTGAATTTAGTGTGCCCACTGTTCTGCATCAATTTGGTGTCCGGGCCTGGAGGAGCAGAGAGAAAAATATCGCTAGTTGATTGATTGATTTAGTTGAAGTTTTTCTATCCCGTCCATTAGTAAAAAAGTCTGTGGATGGCTGACAAGGAACAAAAAAACCGAGGAACAAAAACCAAGGCACAGCAGCCTGCATCTAAAAATTGTGATAAAAACAAGGATAAAGCCAATTCATTGTTAAAACACTGGGAAAATGAAAAGGTCTTTGCCTGATGCCGAAAAGAATAGAGTGACAGTGCCAGGCGAACCTCTCTGGGGAGTGTATTCCACAGTCGGGGTGCCACCACAGAGAAGACCCTTCTCTGAGTAATTACCCTCCTGGTTTCCTTCAAAGAGGGTTTCCGGAGAAGGGCCTCTGCCACTGATTTCAAGGGGTGGGCCAGCACATGGGGAAGAAGGCGCTCCTTCAGGTATCAGGACCCAAACCATTGTGACACATGACATTTATCAACAATAAATTAGAAAACTCACTGTACACCGTTACTGCATTTCATTTCCACACAATAGCCAAAGCTCTCTGCACAATTTACAGGGATTGAAACGTTTAAAATATATAATAAAAGCCATTTACAAACAAACATATAAACATACGTTTTCTGAAATTGGGTTAATGGGCACTGGAGGAAGATTTTTATTATGAGTACATTACATGATCTTGCTGCCTCGATTCTCCCGAGGAATCCAAGGGAGCTTAACAGAAACCCTTTCTATTTTACCATTATTTTAAATGTTAGTAGTGTTTTAAGACTGATTTTATATATTATTTATGGATGCTGTATTTTCCACTGTGAAGGGCAGGATATAAAAGCTTTAAATAAAAAAATAAAATACACTACTCCTGCTCCTCTCCATTTAACTGACAACATCTCTGTGAGGTAGAAGCTGAGAGTCAATCCAAAATCACCCAGTGAGGACGGATCATACTAGATCCCACATAAGTGACCTTATGTGGACTAGAACCGAGATCTCCTGGTCTCGGCCTATACTGTACTTTGCTGGTTCAAACAGCATGAGTGGAATTACAGGCTATAAGCTACAATTAACTCCAACAGTTATACTCCTGGGTGATATTAAAGAGCAAATCCCTAGAGAGTTCATGATAGAAGAGATTTTTATGCTAATTGATGGATCGGTTTGGCAAAAGCAGGGTGAATTCCATACAGACTCTTATACTGGGGAAAGAAAAGGCCAGGACTATCCTGAAGATGAAGAAAATATGAAGAAAAGCAAAGAAACTGCTATGGAAAAGAAGAATAAATTCTATCCAACTTGGCCAAAAAAATTAAAAAGTTGGATACCGTGGACCGACAATTGAAACAGGCACGGTTCAGGAGATGCAGCAGCTTTAGATATGGGCTGAAGTATTGTGTTAAGTTGAAATATAATAGTCGGTTTAAATAATTTACTGCAAACAGCATTTTATTTTAATGGGAAACGACGTTACCAGTAAAAACAAACAGGCTGACAGAACAGCGGCTGGAACTGAGTCAGGAAATTATTGCATGATAAGGAAACCCTTCAGCAAACAGCAAAATTAATTGGGCGGACGCATGGCTGGTCTCCATAGGGAATGTGCTTCACACCACCCTCAAGGCTCCAAAAGGAGTTTTGTGTACATTTCCAGAGTTTGTGATCTTCCCCAGACAGGCCACCCCTTGCAGGATTTTATTTATGTTCGGGTGTGGGGAAAGATATATTGATTTTGTCCTCTCCTGCACCAACCACAAAAGGCTCTTGGGACAAGGTACTACGAAGGACACACACACTAAGCACCCCTTCCAAACCTGGAGTCCTCCAGTTCCATTGGACTGCACGGCCCATCATCCCCAGCCTTAACACAAGACCCCCACACCGCAACACAAACCCTCATGCCATCAAAGCGAACCCCTCTCCCAAGCCGGTTGCCCTTAGGAAGCCCTGGGCTCTGAGGTCCATCGTTCACAGCCTTGGGAGAAGAGAAGCAAGCGTTTCAAGGCTTTTCAGAAGGGCAGAGAAAGAAAGCCAGCCACGTACCAGCGAAGATGACCAGGCCGAAACACCACTCCGTATTGCGAAGGACGCAGCCACGCAGAAGCATGTTCTGGTTGCTCAGGGGGTATTTGTTGTCCTTCCAATACAGCGTCCCACTGAATTTGTCCAGCTTGTTGTTGGGCAGCTCGCACACCACCTCCCCTAAAGAGCATCGAGAGACAACATCAGATCCACGCAATGTGGCTGGGCACGGAGCTGCAATGCCGGCCCCCTTTCAGTCGCTCCCTGCACAAGCCCGTTCCCACCCTATTCCCGTGCTCCCTGCAAAATTTATTTATTTGTTTATTTTATTAAAACATTTTTATGCCGCCCCATTCGCCGAAGCCCCGGGGCGGCTAACAACAATAAATTCCCCGTTCCTGGCAGAAAAGAATTTCCCCCGCTAGGAGATGTGCTCTCGGCTTGCAGTGCAGGGTCTTTGGGGGTGGCTTGATCCCAAATGGACAATTGGACCCGTCAGCTTGACAAAATCCCTGCTCCCGGGAGAGGTGCAAACAGGTTTGTTGATGCGGATCGAGAGAGTTATTCTGATGGTAGCTGGGGTGAGGAGGGGTGGCTGAGAAACCTTCCCACAGCAGTGATATACTCTCCCTGTTGCAATGCAAAGTATTTTGGAATTTCCTCTTCAGAGGCTTAAGGGGTTTGTCACAACGAGCACCTGCTGGGCAAAAAGTTGCCACTTCACTTTTTACCTGAAGCAGGTAGAAAGGATATCTATTCAGAGGAAGGCCTTCTCTGTGGTGGCACCCAGCTTGCTGGGTGCTATATTCTTTTCGGTGCCACGTTAAAGCCTTTTTATTTAATTGCTATTTTAAAAACTGATTTAAATTTTAATGTTTAATGGTTGCTTTTATTTAACTTATTTAATTTATATTTTTTGGTTAATTGTTAATTACTATGTTAAGATTGCTGTTTCTTGCGGATGTTTTAATGATTGTAAACCGTCCTGAGATGCTAGGCATAAGGGATGGCATACAAAAGTTTTAAATAAATAAATAATTTGCATGCCTCCTAAGATGCACAGTTTGCTTTGCAAACTAATAATTTTTGCTAATAAACCTCCTCGCACCCGCCGGATTGTTCTACACATACTTTTTGCCCTTGCAATAAAGGAGAGAGGAGTTTCACGGTTTGCCAGCAACTAAATGTCATTTTCTTTCCTGTGGCCCTGAAATTTAGCCACATTATTTTAATTATTAATTTCTGTAATTCAGAAAGACAGTCCAAAAATGGTCCAGCATCTGGACAGATGTGTGTTCCCCATTCCTACTTTAAAACATGATGCGCATTGTTGGCACTGCTGAAAACAATAATGCATAATTTTCTTTTTAATAAGGTAGGGTTGGCTTTCAAAAACCATTGATTTCATTGTTTTATAAACCCAGCCAATGTTAAAAAGCATCTGATTGTCACAGACAAGTTTTATACTTTTGGTTACAAAACGACCTCCCTTCCTACTAACTGACTCATTTTTTCAATTTTAATTTTAACGGCTGCTGCTTTTAAATATTTGTAGGCTGCCTTTTAAAGCTCTACAAATATCCTGAAGCAGCATGCAAAATACAAATCTACAATATGGAGAAGCATATTTAAAACCGTAGGTCAGCATAATAACAGACGATCAGAAGAGCCAGTAAAATGGATAAAATACAACCCTATACAGATGGGAGGAACAAGTAAATAAACACAGTTAAAACTAAATTTCGTACACACAGACAGACAAATGCACCTCTAGATATACGAAAGATTATTTTTATTGGCCTGGTTTGCAAAACAAAGTTAGTGTTATGTGCCAACCAGGCCAATGCATCAAGTTTCTGGGACCATCTAGGCCAGTATTGCTGACACTGACTGGCAGCAGTTTCAGGTAACCCCACCTGGAGATGCCAAAGAATGAGATCTCCGGCATGCATGGCTGAAAGCTCCACCCCAGAGTTACAGAAGTTCTTGGCCCACCCAGAACTGAACAACCTGCTTCTTTAAGAGAAATGTTATTTAAAGTCCCTCTTGTAAAGCTGCCCGAGGAGGAAATTCAAGCACATGCCGAATAACCCATCAGTCTTTGGGGCCTGGTGAAGGCCTGCAGGGAAGGAGCGGTCCGGCTGACTCACCATCGAAATGGGCGAGCCTGCTGGTGTCATTCAGCTCCGAGGTCACTGGGATGGCCTGCCGCACCTTCATGTTGGTCTCCCTAGGGACACAGGTGGAGGGGAAGAAAGGCTGAGCCGAGGGCCATGGGCTCTGGACCCCCTGCTGCACGGATGCCCTCGCACCCACGCCCTCCTGAAGGAAGGGAGTGGCAGTGCATAGGAAGACAGGAAACAGAGCCCGCCTGGGTCCGGCCAGAGGCACCGCTGCATTTAGAGATAGACTGCTTCTGGAGCTGGAGGTTCTACTTAGCAATGATGGGCAACAGTTGGTGTCACTTACTAGACGTCAGGGGAAGGAATTGCCGGCAGGCTTGTATGTATGTATGTATGTATGTATGTATTCGATTTATATGGTGCCCCGTTTGTCACAGGCTCTCTGAGCAGCTCACACCAGAATAAACATCCGCAATGTACAACTTAAAATACAATACAAATCAAGCTTATTTTAGCTGCACTATTAAAGGAGAACAAGCACCGGTCTGTTCCTCAGCGCCAGAGTGCCAGGACTGCGAAACCGAGGCTTGGCAAGCAGAGAACGAAGGCCCTGGGAGAGTTTATTTAAAAAGCATTGCTTTTAGGTGTAACAGGTCCAAGCAGTTGGATCCTACAGTGCCATTCCTAGTCACCAGGTTGGAGTCAGTGCAGCGCAGGGCCACAAGGTTGGTGGCCGGTTTGCAGGGGAAGCCGTATGAGGCGAGACTGAGGGAACTGGGTCTCTGCAGCCTGGAGAAGAGGAGACTCAGAGGGGATCTGTTGGCGACATGCAGGTATGTGAGCGGGTGTCACACGGAGGTGGGGAGAGACCTGTTCTCCCCTGCAGAGGAAGGCAGGACGCGTTCCAACGGAGCAAAGCTCAGGGAACCCAGGTTCAGTTTGGATGCCAGGAAGCACTTCCTGACAGTCAGGACCCCTGGAGTATGGAATGGGCTTCCCCGGGAGGAGGTTGAGGCCCCATCGGTGAGGGTGTTCAAGGACAGGCTGGACATGCACATGGTGGACATGTCGTGAGCGGAGCCAGCTGGAGCCGGGGGTCAGACTAGATGGCCCAGGAGACCCCTTCTGACTCGCTCTGTTTCTATGTTTCTGAAAGACCTTTGCTGCCCATCCGGTTTCAAGGCAGAAGCGATTAACTGACGGAAGGAGCAAGCTGCCCGCCTGCCCGCCCCCTCCCCATCGCTATGGGGCAGCTCCCTCAGGCAAGCAGAGTGGGGAAACCAGGCCCTCAGGGAGCTGGGGGCAATCCCATGACCGGGCCCATGCCAAGGGGTGCCAGTGGGCAGGGATGCGTTCAGGTCTGTGCAGCTTTGCTGGACGGCATCCAGTTCCAGGGCATCGAAACCTTTTCATTGAAATGGCATTTCAAAATGAATAGTTTTTAATGTTTAGTCACTCGTTTCGTTTTCTGATTTACTGATTACTGTTTTGTTTTATGCACTGTTTTGTTTTCAATTCATTTATTGGAAATTGTTGTCTTTTAAATTGTCCTTTTAAAGCATTGTAACCCATCCTGAGAGTTTTATATACCAGGACAGCATATAAAAGCTATCATTGTTGCTGTTATTATTAATCATCATCCTCCTCCTCCTCGACCCACACAAAACAAGGTCTGTTGTTTTCTTTTACACAGAACGCCTTCCTACGCCAGATCCATGGTCTAGTGTCGCGTTCCCTGCACTGGGCTGACCGGACAGATGTTTTTATTATTATTATTATCAGAACATTTCTATGCCGCCCCTTGCCGAAGCCTCGGGGCGGCTTACAACACAATAAAATACAATACAAAAATAACAATATAAAATTAAAATTAATAATATAAAATAAATAAATATAAAAAAATATAAACGATATAAAAGAAGTTATAAAAGAAAACTTATAGAATAAAGGAAGAAAAGAAAAGGAAAGGAAAGAAGTCGTCCTGGCCAGATGAATAAGTGAATATTGTTAACAATTAAAATGACATTTGAATAAAAAGGTCTTCACCTGGCGCCGAAAAACAAACAACGACGGCGCCAGGCGGACCTCTCTGGGGAGCACATTCCATATTCCGGTAAGCCCCCACGCAGAGCACGGGGGCACGGTGTGCCGCTCATCCAAAGAGCACCTGGTCCTTAGACAGGCGTGTGGCGTTTTTCAGCCCTAGGGCTGGCATTGCAAGACGCAAATGACGGGTGCTTGGCGGAAGAGGGACGGAGACAAGAACGGTGGCCTGCCTTCCAGGGAAGCCTAAAGGACTGCCCCCCCCCCCCCCGGTGCCCCAGCCACTCACAACGGTTCACGCAACAGCCCAACACTGCTCACCCATCCAATTCTGCCGTCTCGATGTAGCACAGCCCATGTGGTTCGCTGCTGGACAGAAGAAGCAGGTCAGCCTAGCGGGGAAGAGCGAAAGAGAGTCTGAAGCAAGGAATTCACAGGTTGTGCGGACAGATCACTGAAAATTGCTCTGCATGCAGAAAGTCCCAGATTCAAGCTCTCCAGGTGAAGTTGGGACATTGTCACTCTGCAAGCATGAGGACTAGAATCTTGCTTGAGATTTAGGGGAAAGAGCGCGGCTCAGTGAAGCAGCCCCTGCTTTGCACGTCGAAGGCCCCAGGTTTAATCTCCAGCATCTCCGCTTAAGGCTGGAAAGAAATTGTGCCTAAAATCCAGGACCCTCCAGAAGCTTTGCCGCCATTGGTGGTCCTCAGGTCCTTCCTCATTGGCCAGGGCTTAGCTGAAGACCGCCCCCCCATGAAGACCCTCTCCCTCAGCTGTCACCCCCTGCAGCCATTCTGGCAGGCCATAAGAAAGGGAATAAAGCGGGGACCCAAGACCATCCCCCCGTTGCGCTAAAGTTTCCCGGTTCGTTCTCACAACCAAATCCTTCTTCCTTGTATGTCATCCCTTTTTATGTTGCAAGCCTGCGAGAAACTGATTGTGTAACTGATTGTTTTCAAGCCACTCTAAGATACTTTTTGGCTAAGGAAAATAATAAAACTGATATCTATCAATCAATCAATCAATCGGAGTTGTATGCCAACATCCCTGAAGGCCACAAGGTGCCCAAACATTGGTGTAGTCAATCTTGATCTAAGTTGACCAAAGCAGTGTTCCTTTCCATCAGCCCATTATTCAAAATCATGAGGACTACAACCTTGCTTTATTTAGGGGAAAGGACCACTGCTCAGAGACAGAGAGCATGTCCGGCACCCAGAAGGACCCAGGTTCAATCCTGACCCCCCCTGCCCTGACAGGCAGCTGCTGTCAAACGTTTGGGGAAATCATCACGGACACATTACTGAGAAAAACCCACTGAAATGCCAGCCGCTTTCTCCTTTGCTTTCAAGTCCCACCCAGGCCCAATTCCTCCTGCAAAGACTTACTGCCACAAACTGGTTGTTCTCCAACTTGATGATATCCCCGACACGAACATTCATCCACTGTTCCTGCTGGAGGCTGTGAAAAGAAGAGCCAGGACAGGTCATGTAATTCTCCTCCTCTCCTGTTTGTAATTCTCACAACAACCCTGTGAGGCAGGTTAAGCTGAGACTCGGTGGCTGGCCCAAAGTCACCCAGGGGGCTCTATGGCCGAGCAGGGATTAGAGCCCAGATCTCTGGTTCCCCAGTCCAACACTCTAACCACTAGGCCCCACTGGCCTAGAGGGATACACCTCACTCTTTCACCTCCTGCCGTAAGAGCTATAGAAACAGAATAAGTCAGACTAAGAAGGTTCCAAAATAAGAGATCCTGGGTTTAATTCTCATCTCAGATATGAAAGCGCTAGGACTCACAGGTCGGGCAACGGCGCAGGCAGAGAAAGCGGTCTTCCCCCTTTTGCAATATGGCCAATAAGCACACTAACCTACCTCGCAGGGTTGCTGTAGAGTTTCATGAAGCACTTTGATAGATTGAGCAGGTACGACATAAACAGAAAACCGTCATTGATTAACACAGAGCCGCTAATAAAGGGGAACAGGAGGGGGCTTAGGTCGGTATTTCCCAAGCAGACGATTAATTTATCTGAATTTCATTTCTAGAAATCTATTTCCTTTCTTTCAACTCAGCTATTTCCAGGGCAGTGAGAGAAACAAAACCAGAAAGCCACGAATGGGAGCGTAACTAGCAAAAAGAGCGGGGTGGGGTGTGATCTGAAAGAGTCACAGACACAAGAATACACTGCAGCCTAAAACTAGGATCAGGAGTTCTTTAAAACAGCCTTCAGGGAGGGGGCCCAGACGACGCCAACCGACGGCCTTCTGCCTTGAGATGCGGGAACCGCTCATTAAGCGCTCTCATACCAGGCGTGGCGTTTGTCCGCACCTTGGCCAGCCCGGGCTTTCACATCCCCAACCCCGTCCCACGAAACGGATCCACGGCCGGCCTCGCGATACTCACATGCCGTTGATGAGCACTTGAGACTGACGGCTGTTGACTTGATTATCACTCTTGTGACGGAACTGTACAAAGAGGTTGAGTCAGCATCGGAGTACGGGGAGCCCTGCCCCATCACTGGGATCTTGCCTGTTTTCTCGGCTCAAAGGGACCTCGTTTAACCTCCACAGAAGCAAAGAAGCACATGGCAAGCGTCCGGAGAGGGGATGGGGGCAAAGCCCCCTGAAACACCTGGTTTTCCCTCTTCATCCCTGTTTCCTTCTGTGTCATGTCTTTTTCGATTGGAAACCCCGTGGCTTCGTTTTACTGATTCTAGGTAAGCCACGAGGTGAGCTTTGCAGCGGAGGAGTGGGTTTTAAACACTCTAAATAAATACATCTGATGCACTTGAGATGTTTTGAGTGACAGTGCCCAGAATCCCTGACTGGCTGGGGCTGATGGGAGTGGAAACCAAAAAGATCTGGAGTGGGTAAGGGCTGCGTTAGCTGACCCGGAAAAATTGGCCCTCCAGCAAGACACAAAACACTCGCCGCCACCAGCCTAGAGCCGATCCCCAAACCCCGTTCCCACCTCGCCTGTTCCCACGCTCCTTACGTAGTCGTCGGTGGCATCCTTGACCGCCGTGATGGTAAGCACAAGAACCAAAGGCACTATGGTGGTGAACCATGAAAGGGATGAAATTTGTGGGATCAGCTGTGGGGGAAGGAAGACACAGGCAGGGTAAGCGAGGCCGGCTGTGTCCAACGGAGCTTTCCCTCCTGCTCCACTTCCCGGGCTCTTATGGATTTTTTAATCGGCCCAAAATGGGGGTACAGAAGAGAAATCTCCACACCGGTCGGAAAACACGGCCTTGCCTCTTGGAGAGAGATGGCTGGGTCGTGCGGCCCAGATGGAAAAGGAGGGATTTGCCAGCTAAGCCACCCCACCGGCCCTCGGAACGAGGCGTCTGCGCACGAGCCCACCTGGAGAATGAGGAGGAAGAAGAAGTATGTGTTGGCCACTTCCTGGAACTGCTCGAAGAGGTTGATGGGAAGGAATGTGACCACATTGTACTTGGACGTCTTGATGCAGTTGCTCTGCAAGGAGAAACAGGGGTGGAGAGAGCAGAAATTAAATTAAGGGACGCCGCCGAGCAAGAGGGAGCCGTGTTCCCCCCCCATCACTCACTGGCCCTGCCGTCACCCCTGCATCCTTCCCCCAGACCCTCCCCGCCACGGTCACAGCCTTGCCTTTAATTTCCTGGCAGAGAAATTAAACTCTTTTATCATTTCCATCAGAGGTACAATCCAGTCCGGGAGCTTTTCAAGATAAGCTCTGAGGAGGGCTTTGACCTCCTTCATTTCTTCCCACCTCACCCAGTTCTAGAAAGAAACATCTGGGCATTGCTGCCTTTGGCCTTCCATCAGCTGCCTTTGTCCCCGAAGTTATTCATAGACCCATCCCTGGACGGGATATAGGGGGTCCTATTAGATCAGTAAAACGGAGGTTAGCAGGGGGAAGGGGCATAGAGAACAGTTCTGTGCTGAAACGCCCGAGCGACATAAAAAGTTTTTGGAGGACCCACAGTCTGGCCCCTCACTCTGCCTCCATCCTATTAACAAGTTTGGTTCTGCCTCATTCTCCTCAAAACCTGCTCCAAGCCCGGGCTGATGGCAGCGGGGCGAGGAAACGCCACAAAATCACATACCTTTTCCTGTTAAGTCATCTCAGTGCAGCGGTGACCCACTGGGAAACCAGAGGGGTGCTCGGGACCCCGTACCCCGTACCCCCACCTTGCCCCAGTGCTACTCACCGCGTATTGAAACTTCTCGTTATATTCCCGCGCGTTCGCCTTCACCCGCCTTTCCTCCTCTGAAACGGACCGAGAACTGAGTCAGCCGGCATGCACCCCGACGCCTCCAAAAAATGTACCCCAAATATCTGCCTCACCAATGCAACCTCCCCCGGCCTCAGGACGCCCTGGGCTTTCTGCCTTGCCCGTGCTTCAAATCTGACATGAAGCACGCTTGTCCCAATAACCCACATTTTTGACCCCTCGTAATCCCCCCCACACCGCAGCCGCTGGCAATAATTGTTTCTGCCTGTCCCTGTCTTTGCACCAAATACTTAAAGGAGAAATCGGGGCAGGAGAAGCTAAGAAAACTGGAGGGGGGGGGGTTCTGCCTGACTTCTTGCACCACCTGGGTCCAGAGTGGGTGACCTTTCCCCGAGCCCCTTTCCCACCCCCTTCCCAGACCCAAGAGTCTGGCAGCCGCAGAGCGAGGGATGGAGAGAAGGCATGGGACAGTCCAAGCAGGACCCCCGCCCCCCCAAAAAAATACAAAGCAAAGCAGAGGAACCCGGGGAGGGAGTTGGCAACGGATGAGGTAATGTTTGGAGTCCGCCGCAATGGCAGCATCTCCGGAGGTCACGACAGGACAAAGGCAGGGAAGCAGCCCCGCATGCGGAGGGGGATCCCAGCCCCGCATCCTCCCCAGATGGCCCCCTTCCCCCCAGAACACGCGGGAGCAGAAATACCTGTCCCCCCGGGCATCTGGCCGCGGCTGTCGGTCGCCACGGCGACCCAGGGCCATTTTTCGGGCATCTCCTTGGGGATCGTCATGGTTACCGCAAGCCGGGATTTTGCGTGTGTCTGCGGTTGTGGGGAGGGGGGCTGCCCAGGAGGCCCCTGTGCTCAGGCAGCGGCCCCCTGCCGGCCTCCCCAGTCCGCCCCCCCCCATCCTCGCCGCCTCCTCCTCCTCCTCCCGCTCCCCCTCCCCACGCGCTGCAGGAGAAAACTCCACGCTGACATTGAAGGAAGCCGGGGGCCGCCCACTGCCACGCGGCAGCCAATGAGGGGCGGGGATGACATCACCTAGGCAACCACTGTATGGGCAGGGGGCCGTGGGGCAGAGCCTCTCTCCTGCTGCCTTGCCTCCCCTCCAGACGAGCAAGCCCAACGCCAACACGCCCCGTCCTTCCCCTTCTCCGGCTGACAGGCAGCGGGAGGGAGGGCAGGAGCCACCTTTCCCCCCCCCAATGAACCCCCGCACCTTTCGCTTAACCTCCCCTGCTTCTCAGATCTCTTTCCATTCTGCTCCTCTTCCTCCAAACATGCACCCCCCCGTCCTGCTCCCCCAACTTGGATCCTTGCAACAGCCCCTAAGAGGTAGGCCCCGGCTTCTGCATCACCCACGGACCGGGAATGAAGAAAACAGCGAGCAAAACCAGCCAGCCGGCTCGCCCCCCCTCGCCTCGCAGCTGCCTTAGGAACCAGGCGGCAGAGCCTTGCCCGCCAAGGGCTGCCAAGGGAGACACAGGAGCGGAGGTGGATTTAGAAGTTGGCAACCCTCATCCGGGTGAAAGAGACGGGTGTGAAGGCACCCAGCAAGCCTGGCAGGTAAGTGAGGGGGCAGCTCTTCTCTTCCGCCGGGCGCTCCGAGCATAGTGGAGGCTCCCCACTCCCAACCCCCCCTCCCCCCCACCCATGAATAGCCCACCATCTCGGCTTACCTGGGGGGTGCGTCTTAGTACAACATTCCATGGCATTTGCCAGCAACTGGGAGGTGCTGCATTTTAGGCAAGGACAGGGGAGGGTGGAAGGAAGGAAAGGAATATGATGAGGATGGGGGGAAAGACAGGATCAGAAAATAGCCCCTCCCCGTGCCGCCACACTTATCTGGCCAAGAGCATGCAGAGGTCTCCCGCCTGCGAGCAGACCCTCCATCCAGTCCGCAGGGCCTGATCCGATCCGATCCAATCCAACCCCACAGTCTCCGGGGTTCTGCCAGGGATGCCCCCAAGCCCTGCCCTCAGGCAGGAATCCCCCCACAGATCTGATCTGGAATGGAGACATTTTGACCTTCCAATCCCAGCGGATGCATCCCCTACCAATAGGCCAATAGCTGGTGATGATGGGAACTGTATTACCCAATGTTTGGTAGGCACCAAGCTGGGGAAGCGGAATTTAAAAAGTTATTGGGTTTGGGGAAAGGATTTGAAGATGGGGTCCAGCAGCTGCCCGAAGCAGCATTCCGAAGCATGATGGGGGGGAGGGGTGGACAGGCATGCTTTGGACTACAACTCCCATCAACCCTAGCCAGCATATCTGGGGCAAGAGTTGTAGGCCAAAACGCTGCCATCCCTGCAGCAGAGGCAGCAAAGGCTGAGCCGTGGAAGGAAACTGGGGAAGCTGCACATTTATTTAATGAATTCGTCTGTTGAGAAGGTAAGAAGAGTCGTTCCGGATCTGACCACAGGCCCCTCTAGCAGCTGGTTTAAGGGGGAGTCCGTTAAACCAGCTGAGCTGCCCCTTAGAGGCCTCTACCATTTTTCTCGCTTCCTAAAAACAGGCTGTGATGCTGTCTGGCTACAGGAGGATACATCAACACGGTGAGGACTAGCAGTACCAGATGCGGTTTGTGCAGGATCCCCAGGTGCCACAGCTGCTGTGCTGAAAGGCCCGCCCACTGGTGGGGGAGACACCCCAAGGCAGCTTTTCGCGAGGAAGGAAGACCGCAACCACTTCAAGAAAAAGAAGAAAGCGAAACCTCGCAGCAGCCAGACACCTTTCCTGCAAAGGACTTCCGGGAGAGGAGCTTCCACTGCGTGCCCTGCGGTGGCAGCTGGAACAAAAGCCCCGCGATGCTCCCAACTGAAATGAGCCCCCCCTCAGGAAGATGTGCCCCCCAAAGCACCCCAAAACAATGCAGAAGAAACAGGGTGGTGCGGAAGAGGCGAAGGACCGACCAGGAACGGCCAGAAGAGAACCTCTCTGCACGGACAGCCCCCCCACCCCGAAGCAGTCTTCGCTAACCTGGTGCCCCCAGACCTGTATACTCCAGGTCCCATCATCCCTAGCCAGCACAGCCAACGGTCAGGCCCCAGATTGGAGCAGACCGCTGGAAAGTTGTTTTCAAAAGAGAAATGGTGCTGGGAAATCTGTATTGTTGGGACGGGATTTGGAGCCGCCTGCCTTCTTTCTGTTTGGCTGAGGGGCCACCCTTTATACTCCAGGGCTCCTACAAACCCACTTGCCCTCCAGGATCTGCAAGAACCCCATGCAAGAGTCTTTTTGCAAAGCAAAGCCAGGATGGCAGAGGCACAAGGCAAGGTCTTTGCCAGGGTGGCCCCCATAAAAAAGAAACCTCATTTTTTAAAATCAAGACTGGCGTCAGATCTGGTGTCCTTCCTTCAGATCACCCAGAGGTGAAGCCCCAAACTAGTTATTTAAGCTGGAGATGAAGTAAGGGTTGTTTAAATTAAATTTTACCCCTTTAGAGAGCTCCAATTAGGATGCTTAGCCAGTCTGGCCAATTTGTTCTTCCTCACCCTCACCTTTCTGGGCTGTTCACAAAACTCAGATTCATGAAATAGAATCTTTTATCCCCACAGCAAGCTTAAAAGGAAGGCTAGGCGGTGAAATAGGATACTGGCACAATCAGCTAGACAGCTATGCCTCAAAGTCGGAATTCGAACCCACATCTCTCCCATTAAAATCCAACAGTCTAACCACAATATTTGGCCTTGTGCCTCCTACAAACTTAGTAAGCCACAGGAGTTAGATTCTAACTCTCACGAGTCTTTATGTGCTGGGGCTGATGGGAGTGGTAGCCCACGGCGGCCAGACTCTCCTCTGCAGCTGTAGCCAAGTACCCTGGCGACTCCTCAGTGGAAAGAACAAGCAAAATAGATCAGCTCTCTAGAAAATGTCTATTTTGACCTAGACTGCAAATCTTAGACACTGGCTCAAAACAAGCAGGAAGCGATCAGTAAGACTCAGGTCTTGGCTTATCCAAACTTAGAGCCCAGTAGCCACCACACTGGTGATGGGGTTCTGCAGCGGGCAGGTTCAGATTCGAAATTACGGTTTTAAAACAAGAGACAGAGCTCCTTTGTAGTCCTGCGTGAGAAAGCGTCCCTATCTAGTCACCTAGACTGAATTCACGCTCACCCTAGGCAACCAAGAGACCTGCTGCATGCCAACAGACTCCTCTCAGGAACAAGCCCATCCGCTATCCATGTGGCAAAAGAAAAATAAGCTGGAAAGGGTGGGGGGCAAACCAGTACGGATGCATTGTCTCTACGATCACACAGACAGGAAGCTACCGGAGAACTCCCTTCTAGGAAATTACAAAAAGCAGAAAAACAGAAAACCCAAAATAGTGCTTTCCTTCACACAAACACGGTCAGAGCTCTGAATACGCTTTTTCTGGCATGGCTGACGAAAAAGGAGGGGCAGTTCCTTTGCTTTTTTCCTTCCAGGCTGTCACTAAATTGCCAGTGGATCTTTTAGCTCTCAAAACCACACCAAAACAAACACACATCTTTCCAGAGGGAAATAAGACACAGACACAACACACTTGGCATTGTTTCCAGGCTTTTTATCCCGTCCCGAAGCACTCTGCACAAGCCCTGGGACAGTCTCCCACTCCCTCAGTTTGCATATTCCAGATGTGGGGGTGGACGGGAATGAAAACCAGTTCCCAGGCTGGCACGGCACCCACCAGTTTCTCCCAGTCCCTGGAACAAGATAAAAAGCCACCCATCTGGGAAAGAGGCAGCAGCCGGAATGGGGGAAGGAGGGAGATGTGTACACAAAAACTTTTTGGGCGTTGCTCCCTCCAAGATTTGGGGACTTGCCAAGAGACAGCGAGGGAGAGCAATGAGCTGGCATTTCAGCAACACCCCACACAGCTCAGCATAGTTGCACACTGTCTAGGAACGCCCAAGTGGCAAAACACGCTGGGAATACGAGGGTATTTAGGGAAAAGAGTCCTGGAAAAGGCCCAGGCCCCTTCCGCTGGTGCAAAGGCGGCGCTGAAGCAAAACAGCTCCCTCTTTCTAAGCCTGGCCCTCCCGGCCTCCCGAGTGGACCAGGCAGCATGTCTGGGCATCTATCGAAGACGCTAGGTTTTGTGGTCGTCCTGGGATTGGAAGGAGTGGGGGGCACGCTCCAGGATGACGTGCGATGCAGCCAGGCGGCCTGGCCTCTCCACCTGGGGGTCCTCCCTGCCCATTCTGCCGAGCAGGACCCCAGACGCCTGCCCCAAAAGGATGGCCCCGCTGCCAGGAGCGGGATGCTGCAGGAAAGAGGATAAAAACAGCAGGGACCGTGAGGGGTTCTGGGCTCCGGAAGGCCACGCTGCTGAGCGAAGGCACGAGGGCAAGAGTGCGGCTCCTTCCAGCAGCACCTGGGCATGCCAAGAAGGCGGCAAAGAGGAGGAGGAGTACAGATCCTGAAAAGGGGGGGCTCTGAAGTCGGGGAGGGGTTCTTAGCCCAGGTTTGGGCATCACGCTTTTGGGGACAGGAGACTGACCCGAGCTGGGGGGAAATGTTTGAGGAAGGCACCCAAAAAAAGGGAAGAACCCAAATCCAGGAGTGAGAAGGTATTTCAGTATTGCATCCTGGGGGCGAGAGGAGGAAATAAAAATGGGGGAGGGGTTTAGAGAAGAGCCAGGAAAGAAATCTGCTGGGGGGGTGGGGGGGCAGATGGATCCAGAAATTGGGAGAAGGAATCCGTGTGCACTTGTGGAGGGTGGTCCCAAAATGGTAATCCAGGAGGGAAAGTAAGACCACTGGCCCTCAGCATGAGTGCCTTGTGGCGGGGCGGGGGTTCTTATCAAAAGGACAGCAGGGGAAAGATGAGTCACTGCCACCTAGAAAGAGAGGGTGGGGAGAGGTGGAGAAGTTGGTGGCCCTGACAGTCTAAGAAGCGTGGGGTGGGGTGAAATGAGATTTCCAGGCATCAGACTTGGGGGGCAGGGTGTGCAGGTGGGTGTGGGATGGGGGGGGTCTACTGTCCCGAAATAGAGGAAGAATTAAGATCTGTGCTTTGACATTTAAAGGAAAGACCTAGTATATTTTGGCAGAGGGGGGTGGGGGGTGGAAAAATGCAAGCAGGGGCTTTGAATGGAGGGCACGACCTGGACAGAGTGGGGAGGAAGGAAGCCACGGGACCAGAAGGCAAGGCAAGGCAAGGCAAGGCAAGGCAAGGCAAGGCAAGGCAAGGCAAGGTGGGGGCTGGCTTAGAAACAGCACCTTTTGGCGCTTGCCGCGGAGTAAGCCTCACACTAATCAATAGGAGTAAGCCTCACACTAATCAATAGGACTGGGCCTAGAGGCCTGAGGAAGGAGAAATCCTAAAAGGAACCTATAGAGAGGGAACAGAACACGCACAAGCTGCCTATCAAGCAGGGAAGGTTCTCCGGGATTCACTCACCCCCCCCCCC